AAATTTTAATCAATGGCCGTGCTATAACTTATACAATGGATTCCTTAAAGTTGAGAAAAAATCTAGAAATCAATTATTATAATGTAAACGTATATACAATATGCTTTATAGTCTTTGCAACTTAAGTTTATCGCTGGAAGGTGGTTAGACGAATATGACATATATATATATATATGTATATTATAATAAGTTATGTATATAAATATGGTCCAGATTAGGATTAACACGTGCGATAAATGGCACCCTATGTCTGTATAATGTACACTAAACTACCAAATTATTATGAAATTAAAGCTATAACGGTATGGACGATTATGTGCATAATGTAGACATCGCCGTTAAATACCAGTACAAATAAAAAATTCTGTAGGCATATCAATTACGTACGACGTACTTATATCTATATATACTTTTTTGCCTGTTCAAAAATCAGGAACAGGTGGGAACTGTTCATCACAATGCTGCYATCTACATTCTATATATTATAGTAAATCCTTTGATTCGTGTTATTTTATTTTCATCGATTCTTGTGTGGCAGGAATAAGCTGCGGCGCCCTAGTGGGCGGAGTCATCGGAGCGCGAAAGCCCGTGTACGACATTTGGGGAAACACCGTGAACGAAGCTTCCAGGATGGATTCAACGGGCACTATGGGCCGGATACAAGTACCAGAGAGCACGGCSAAGGTAAAAATCGTGTAATCGAATTAATTTAAACGTCTGCAATATACGAATAGTGTTTTAAATGTTTTTCTATATTATTCCACGCATAAAAAGAGGCGCCGCTTTTCGTTATTCGAATTTATTTAGGTAATATTATTAGATAATGGGTATTTTCCTATCCACGTAGCTAGGCTAATGATCAAAGTTTGTGTCCAGAGATTGTTTCGTGTCCTTTTCAAAAGCTGGAATAAAATAATCATATCGTGATGTCAAGAATATAATATTATCATAAAAGTGCAAAAGGTTTATATAAGTTTTATCCGCATAATAATTACGTCCAAAAGTTTAAACCTATTGTATTGTTAAATGATATTTTTCACACATACAACAAATTTAATCATACAAATATAATTACGATTCTAATTGCTATTCACTGTAAAYATGTTTTGTAGGATAGCAAGTTATAGGTACTTCATAATCATATACTATAGAACATAATATGCTATACATGTTCATATAATATCAATTCACAAACTTACGTCACGTATTTAAAGTATTATCGTAAAATAGTTGTACCAAGAACAAAAATATAAATAAAAACTTATGCTATAAGTATATAAAAGTATATAGTTGTATAAAAACTTTTATATGAGTAAAKCATACTTCATCTTCAAGACTTTATACACATAGTCCCGTGTATTAATATACAATTTTAACAGTAGAMATTTTTTTATTAATTAATTAATCAATTTTATTACATCTATATGCATGAATGCCTTTAATTGTTTTAATATTCTGAGCTTAACAATAAAGATACATTTCCTAAAAGCTTATATATTGAAAACGACGTATCTACGTTTACACAATTTTAACTTTGGGAAAATTTATCTACATATTTTATGAGAGACAGTAAGCAGTAAGCCGTTTTAGAACGAAATCTTAACCTTATTTTGTTAGGAACCAAAATCTCCTTAGATTGCTTAGAATCRTTTTCCAAGTTCAAAATTACCCTTTTTTGCAGCTATAACCARCACAGATGTATCCCACCTTTTTTTTCTTTTAATTGATTGTTCAAGTGAAAGTTTTATGTATTATAATATTACCTGTCTGTGRAAGTTGTTTCGAAATATGTTAAAACAAAATAAAAATTCACAAGTATGATAAAAACTTTTAAGCTTGTATCGGAGAATAACATAATATACATATAGGAGGGTTATATACATATAACCCATACGTATTACAAAATATATATAGGTACACGCACCTCGCTCATGCATTATTCACGGTATTTCGTTTTTAAATAAAAATTGGATGCTACGGATCAATTCGAAAAATAAAAATAGTATAATATATAGAGGTAGCCTCGTTATATATCTTTTTAGATGACCAACCAGATCCGTCGGAATAAACAAAATAATTCACTTTATTTAACTACGGTGTGGTGCGCGTTACATCGTAGTATAGACACGAGTGGCGCGTAAATGCGTTATTCTGCAGCAGAAGTTGCAGAACGCTCGACTTTTACTATATAATAACATCTATAAATTTCAAATTTATGTAAACATATTCTTCTGTCAGACACTTTAATCTTTGAACGCTATTTTTCTTGCGATAATAAACAGCATCGTTGCCGTCGTCGTCACACGCAGCCATACACAATCTATATGGATGAGGATGTAAACGCACAACCCATTATATAGGCATAGTTACGTGCGCAACCATTATCGAAATAATCGTTATATTTTACAAAATCGTTTGTTAAGATTTATGTCGTTTGTTACATCGTGTATAATATTATGTAAAATTGTCTCGCGTGGGTTGTGAGCAAAATTGTGTCACGTGCACGCAAAGGCGTTATAACATGATTATTAAATTGTTAATGTTTTGAATGTGTGTTAACTACATGATATTATAATTTATACATATAAATATGTACATATAAATGCATAATATAGTAATAATGTATAGGTGCATAAATTATATAATATATTACCTGAAAATTACATTTCACGTAACACAAGATATCAGATCAAGACGGTATGCCTTTGACATTTGATCAACTCGTAGAGAAATAATAATTTCACTGTTGGTATAGGGACAATAACCAAACAGTGGAGCGGCTTGTACAATATGTTTTCGTTTATATGATAATAATAATATTAAATTTATTATAATAACTAAATAGTTTATAGCTGCGGCTTATAAAAATAAATCTATTATACGCGCCAATTAAATATTAAATTAAATCAAAACGGCTGCAGTCATCAAATCTATAATAATGTACTTAGCATGCTGATTCCTATACATGCGCTTATATATTATACATAATATTATAGTAATCGTTTTCATTTTATAATTAAAAAATTGTACCTAAAAATTTAAGTATATATATTACAATCGATTTTCGATCCATATAAATACTTAATTTTAACCACCTAACTTAACCTAAAGTTATATGTGTATCTATATGTATTGACGCGCTCTCGGACTTAGTTGTCCGCGTTTATTAATATATTATAATATTGTTGTTAATACATTGTAGATAACGTTAGATAAGATAACATATTATTACTACAACATATTATCATCATCGATGTAGATCCTGATGGACAGGGGTTACGAGACGGAGTTTCGGGGCTCAATCGCGGTCAAGGGCAAGGGCGAGATGAAAACGTACTTCGTGGTGGGCAAAAAGGGCGCCGTGACGAACAGCCTGAGCCGACAGTCCAGTCAGATCAGCAGCTTGGCGACAGTGGTCTACGGGATGGTGCAAGCCAGACGCCGGCAAAACACAGTAAAAAAAAGACATTTTCATCGTGAGTGTGCTTTTACTAACAATACTAATAATAAAATAATAAGTACGTAACGAGTACGGGCGTACTGCAGCTACTATATTATTATTATTCYGATGGTAACAAGAGACGAGGGTGTARTATTATGTTATTATTATGCTTGTGTCTATATATGATTTCTATGTCTTGTAGTTTTCCTGCGATTGATTAACCAGCTTTAACGAGTTTGCCTACATAATATCAAAATGGTGTAGGTATTATATAATTATAATAAAATATATTATCAGTGAATATACGAATAATAAATCATACAATTCTCGATGATTGAATTATATTCCATCGATTCAAGACTAAATCCTCAAACCTATAGGCGAGTTAGTGACAATTTTTAATTAGGTTAATTTAAGTTGTTAGAAAATATTTTAAGAAGTTTAAAGTTAAATAATTGGTTAAATATACAAACGAAAATAATAAACGTTATTATGGCAACTTACAATTCACTCATTAACTAAGTTGTTTTTAATCTTTTTTTTTTTTAATTATATGGTTTAAAATAATAAAAGTAAATGTTCATGCAATATGATCATCAATAATAATTTTATTATACTAATTGTTTAATTATTTATAAAACAACGTTAGTGTCTATTTTGAATTTGATTACTAAAGTAACTCGTTACTTATTAGGTAAGTTTAAATCAATCAAAATCAGTTCAGTAAAAAATTAGATTAAAAAGTTAAAATTAACTTAATTTTAACTCTCTAATTCCTTTATGTCCAGRCTTGAAAATCCCGAGCAATTATATCGTTGTGCTGATATATTATTTATAAATCATAAAATTCTACCAATCCGTGTTATTATTTTATAATAAGTATATAAATACACTCGAGATTATCTCGTGGGAACGCAGTTATAATAATTAAATATTATATTATTGCTGTACCTACGTATTATTATATCGGCTGTAATGTATTAATACATTGTAATTATTTACGGTTTCACCACCAAAGTGGATCTCATTAATCTTGCTCTGTTGACTAATAACGCAACATTTGCATTAATATACCAAAACATGACGTTAATTTAATATTACACTATAGCCGTTTAGAACGGTGGTTGTAATTATAAATAAATATCATACACACGATATACGCACAATATTAGGTACCTATACCGGCTATACCACCAACCAGTAACCACCCCATATTATATTATAGATTATGATATAAGCATCGTCTCCTATATTATTGTTATAAACATAATGTTTTTGATATAAAGTGACGTATTTAAGGGGGCAGGGGCAAGGGGGACATGGACAAAAAAAAATTGATGTATCGTTGCGCTATAGGGTTAGCACCATAAAACTGTGTTAACCTAACCGACATAATTCCATTATCGTTAAAATTGGTATTCGTCTTAACGTGTTTGCATCAAAAATACGTCCGGAATTAAGGATTAAAATTATAAAACAAAATTATTGTAATTGTGTTCATAAGTATTAGATTACAATGATTTGTTTTTTCTTCTTTAAAATAGATTTACAGGGTGTCCCGCGTGGAATCAAAATTCTATAGTTTTATAATAAGATTCACAGGGTTAAGAACTACAATTATTTCATTTCTAATTTATTTTAATGTTTTAGTAAAAAATTTAAAAAATATTATTTTTTATTTATTTCCAAAAAAATTAAAGATATCCATTTTGTAAAGTTTATTTTTCTGAAAATATTGACGTTTCAAAATTGTATTTCCATTAATTTCCTGAATTTTGATATTTTTTCKAGTTTTGATGAAATAAAATATGATTATAAATTTATTACTATTAGGAACACGGAAAGTATTCAGCCGACCGTATGGGAATGCGCGCGGCGCGACGGGTCACATGTTTGGTAACATTATGGTGTTAAATAATTCGTAATTTTTCTCAAAACTAAAAAASTAAAAAAAATCAGGAAATTAATGAAAATAAAATTTTGAAACGTCAATATTTTCARMAAAATAAACTCTACAAAATTGCTATCTTTAATTTTTTTGGAAATAGTTAAATATAAAAATATTTTTTTTAACTTTTATACCAAAACATTTAAATAAATTAAAATATGAAACAATTTTAGTTCTCATCCCAGTGAGTTTTATTACAAAACCAGAATTTCGATATCACCATTATTTCGGGAGATATCGCAATGGGTAAATCCTCACGGGACATTCTGTATTTGAATACAATTTTATAATGTGCCATATTATATTAATAATATAACCTTAATATAATAATTATTAGTGTAACAGTTATATTTTATATAAAACGTATACATATATATAGGGTGTCCCACAGAGATCTGACATTTTGACAAATGAAATAACTTTTGTTTTAATCAATATTTTTTAAAAATTTCTTTTAAATATAACCCATAGACACTTGCGCTACATTTTTAGAATACATTTTTTATTTTTATTTTTTAATACTGAAAATAAAAAAACTTAAAAATTGATAAACTTTTTTTCGAAATATTCAATATAGCCAATTTGTAAATTTGATTT